TGGACTTGAAAACAAGAATAAGAGAAATTTTGATGTATAAAATATTGAAGATAACATAGATACACTATTTAAAAATAATTCTGTTGTCTTTTTTCCTCTGTACTCTAATGGATGCAAATAAAAATAATTCTTTAGCAATAGATTAAGGCCCTGTCTCAAAAAAAGTAATACTTTCAATATCTACAAGTTTTAATTGCATGCTGCCATGAAGATTGGTGCTATTTTTACAGAAAATATAGGAGCAATAATACAGCCTTTTGAAGTTAAGAAAAACTTGGCATTCCCAAATGAACAACATAAATGTAAAATATGTTATAAATTACTGAAATAAAAAGGAAAGTTTGGGGATTAAATTATACCATCATTTAAATATAGGATGAGAAAAATGGATATTAATTTTAATGATTTCGTCTTGCTTACAATAAACTTGAACTTAAATCCAAACATTTTAATAAATATTTGGTGCCCACTAGTAATCTAATTTGCTTGTTACATAACATGTAAGTTTACCATTTTATTTCAGAACTTTTGAATCTAGGAACCATGGACAAATTTGACATATATTTCAGAAAGTGAAACATGCAGCAGAGTAACATAAGCAAGATGACGGAATAGGAGGTCTCCCACCCCTGTCCCCACAGCACACTGTGATAGCCACACTCAGACAGAGCAGCCTTTATGAGAGTTTCGAGGTCCAGGTCAGAGTTTGTGACACCCTGGTGGAGCCCAGTTTGAAGAGGCTCATTTTGAGAAAGCCAGACCATGACCAGGTGGCAGACTTGTCAATAATAGTCCCGGCAAGAGAATAAAGAATGACCACTTCCACTTTAAACTAAGCTATAGCCCATTTGACCTTGATGCTGCCACTAGCACCATCTGCCAAGATACACAGGATTCACATCCACCTATGTTTCAGGTGAACAGACCTGCAGACCTTGGTCCTATCTTTGCCCACTGAATCAGCCTAAAACCCACCTTTTTCACCTCTCAGCCATGGTATAGAAAAAATTCCTGCCCACACAGGAACTCTCATGGAAAAACACCCATCTATGCTTCTGAATATAGAACCACAAATATTGATCTGAAAGTTGATTTTGCAGTGGCACTATATCCTGGCCTCATCTAGTCCAGGACCACTTTTCCTCAGTCTAAGATATGTGTAGAAGCTCACACATTTGTGCCTGTGGAGGCCAGCCTGCTCAGAAAATCTTATGGTAAATCTTAAAATTGCTTGTTAACCAGCTCTAGTCTCTGTCATCCAGGGTCTAGAAGCAGTCCTACTCACCGAAAAACTTGGAGGGAACATGGCATGAACGCAGAGACAGACGTTAAGACCAGGCTCCGGGCTGTGTATCCCGCAGCAGCCCTATACATCAGTTCCAGCCCCTCTCAGCTGATCATGGGTCAGTCCTGCTCATTCAAGGACCTGTCTTGTGACTGAGTGACAGCACTCCAGAGACCCAGCAGGAGCCACACCTATCCACATACATTGTATCAGGGATACATTTGCTCAAACAACCGCAGTCCCTTGTCCAGGTATTGGCCTACTGATCAAGATCCTGAAAAAACTCAGATGTCTCAGGGAATAGCCAGGATCTACAACTGTTTGATGCCTTGATTACAAGTCAGCCAACCATGGAAACCACCACAGACCCAATAACAGTCACATGACATAACTCTAAACTCATTCTAGTACAATCTCAGAAAAAAAATCATCAGCCACCGTACCCAATAAGAGAAGATATTTAGCTCCCCAAACTTGTTTGTAATGACTGGAAGAGGTGTTTGCTCTTTCATATTCAAAGACAGAAACCAGGGATATCTAGACCATAAAAAATCAGGCAGGCCGGGCGCAGTGGCTCACACATGTAATCCTAGCAGTCTGGGTGGCCAAGGTGGGAGGATCACTCCAGGTCAGGAGTTCTAAACCAGCCTGAGCAAGAGTGAGACCCTGTCTCTACTAAAAATAGAAAGAAATTAATTGGCCAACTAAAAATATATAGAAAAAATCAGCTGAGCATGGTGGCGCATGCCTGTAGTCCCAGCTACTCGGGAGACTGAGGCAGAAGGATTGCTTGAGCAATGAAATTGAGAATGAAATTGCTCATTCATACCCTATAAAAAAGTTAACTCAAAATGGATTCGCATTAAATGTAATACCAGAAACACTGTAACTTCTAGAATAAAGCATAGGGAACAATCTCTTTGACATTAGCCTTGGTAATGATTTTTTTTGTAATATCACACCAAAATAGTACAAGCAATAAAAGCAAAACCCAAAACAAGACCACATCAGGCTAAGATGTTTCCTGCACAGTAAAAGAGAAAAAAAAAAACAAAAACAAAAGAGCCACCCAAGGATTGGGAGAAAATATATCTGATGAATGTAATGTTTAAAATATATAAGGATCTCTACTCAGTAACACAACATAAAGGTAAATCTGACTTAAAATATGCAAAGGACCTAAGTAGATATTTCTCCACTTGGAGACATAGAAGTGGCAAATAAGTCTATGAAAGGGTGCTCAACGTCATCATCCATCAGGGAAATGGAAGTGAAACCACAATGAGAGATCACCTCACACGTGTTATGACTATTATCAAAAAATCAAGAGATAATAAATGTTGGCAAATGTGAGGACAAAAGGAAACTCTTGTACAATGCCAGAGGAAATGTAAATTGATCCAGCCATTATGGAAAGCAGTATGGAGGCTCCTCAAATAGTAAAAACAGAAGTACCATACAATCCTTCCATCTCACTTCTGGGTACATGTCCAAAGGAAATGAAATCAGTAATACAAAGAGATATCTGTTCTCCTACATTTACAGCAGATTATTCATGATATACAGTAGAATATTATTTAGCCATAAGAAAAAAGGTAATCCTGACACTGATGACAACATGGATGGATGAACCAGATGGAAATTATGGTAAGTGAAATAAAATAGAGAAATACACTTACTATATGTTATGAGCTATTTATTGCTAGAATCTAAAAAAAATAGAGATCGGAGAAGTAGAGAGTAGAATGGTGGGTGCCAATAGTGTCGGGGTATGGTAAAAATTGGGAGATGTTTGTCAAAGAGTACAAACTTTCATTTATAAGATGAATAAATTCTGGGAATATAATGGACAGCATTGTGAATATAGTTAATAGTAATGTATTATACACTGGACATTAAGTAATACTGTCTTAAATAGGTTAAGAGCTTAGATAGACCTTAAGTGTTCTCACTCCCAAAAATTTGGCAACTATGTGATATTATTGATATATTAGGTTCATTGTGTTAATCATTACACAATATATACATATATCAAATCATCAAGATGTATACCTCAAAAACATAAAATTTATACTAGTATTTATTAAAAATTCCACATGTCAGAAAGAAAGAAACAAATGAGTAAATAAACAAATGAACATAGAGGACACATTCATAAAATTATGATTATTAAGATATAAGGTAACAGTCAAAATGTTACTATACACTGGAAAGTATTCTAAGCTTCCCACAGACCATTTTTAGTTAAGAACCCTATATGGAAAGTAGTACATTAAACTACTTTACACATATGTGTAAAGTAGTACTTTACACAGTTTAAATTTTTAATTTTCATTGAGGCTAGGAGAAACAAACTGTTAATGTAAAATATATGATTAGCTTTTTAAAATAAATATTTAAAATATCTTTTAAATATCTTTTAGCTTTTTAAAATATCTTATTATATTATATGTAATTTAATATTTAATTAAAGGGAGATGCTTTGTACTCTGATGAAATTATAGAGTCTCAATTTCTGTAGAACCACCTTTGAAACATCGATAGGATTAGAAATTAATAAAACAGAAAATAGTTGATGTCTATCTACAGTATTTTGGGGACTTCTGAACTAAACATCACTATGTCCACCACTATGTGCACACACTTCTGACAAGAGGCAAAAAAAACACTAAAAAAATGGTTTAACATAGAGGTAAGTCCGAAAAATGCACAGATTCCCCCAGGTCCCCAAAGGGAACAGATGAGTGGATCATGTAGGCCCTCATAGGCTAAGGGGAGAACTTTGGCTCTCACTGTAAATGGATGAAAGATCCTTGAAGGGCAAAAAGAATCCTCAGATAATACTTTTCACAATCTTAAGGAGAACCAATCCTCAGATAATTTAAGAGTATGAGAAAGAAGATGTCCTTCTATAAGAACAAGAGAGATAAACCGAGGCTTTTCAAAAATTTATGTAATTATACCAGAGCTTCTTAATCCACACTTTAAGGTCTGGCTTCCTCCTTGACATTTAGACCTATCACTATCATCTGCTTCGTTCACTCCCACCTACCTGGGTGCTTGGCAACTGTTTCCTCTCTCTTCACATTGCAGGGCTCTTTCATTTGTTTGAAAAAGGTGACCAGGTCCAGACAGAACAAGTTTTATTTTATTAAAAAAAGACACGGCCGGGCGTGCTGGCTCACGCCTGTCATCCTAGCACTCTGGGAGGCCGAGGCAGGCGGATTGCTCAAGGTCAGGAGTTTGAAACCAGCTTGAGCAAGAGCAAGACCCCGACTCTACTAAAAATAGAAAGAAACTAATTGACATGGTGGCGCATGCCTGTAGTCCCAGCTACTCGGGAGGCTGAGGCAGGAGGATCGCTTGAGCCCAGGAGTTTGAGGTTGCTGTGAGCTAGGCTGATGCCACGGCACTCACTCTAGCCTGGGCAACAAAGTGAGACTCTGTCTCAAAAAAAAAAAAAGACATGTGAATTTTGCTTGTGGTTCTTCAATTTTCAACTTAGTATTGCAATCCCTAGAGAAGAGAGCATATTCTACAAAATTATTTTCCTAAATACCATTTCCTGACAGCTGCTGTAAGATATCTAGGAAGCATTTTAAAATTGTAGATCATGTGCTTTACTTTCACGTCAACTTGATTGTTTTCTTAATATTTCACATTTTTTAAAGTATCACAGGGCTATAGGTAAGTCTATCCCATGCAAACCACTTACCCGAATTCAGTGGTCTGTGCCTACAAACATCATTAATAACTGCTTGCAGATTGGCAGTTACCTGATCACTTGACATATCCAACTGAAAGAAAAGGATATACATAACATAAAAGATGAGAAAATGAGAATACTGTGCAATTTGGGTATCTGTATCAGTATTTTTTTCTAGACTATTTTTCAAACATTCAACTAATGCAAATTATCTAATAAGAGACCCAACTGTGAAAGGAAAAAATCTCCATAACTCTTCTTTCAGAATGCTGCATTATCATGTCTTTACATGCCAAGACATGACTACCTTACCGAGCATCTTACAGCAGAGGGTTTTAAGTTTCTGTACTTGAAAGCCCTTGATTTCCAAGTAATTTCCCCAAAGCATATCCTGGAACAGAATACATCACTTCCCACATCCACCCCAACGAATTAGTGATATTTTCTCTTGAAGTTATCTGTTGATTTACTTTTAAGGGACATTGAAAAAACGTTTAGAGGCCGGGCGCGGTGGCTCACGCCTGTAATCCTAGGTCTCTGGGAGGCCGAGGCGGGCGGAATGCTCGAGGTCAGGAGTTCGAAACCAGCCTGAGCAAGAGCGAGACCCTGTCTCTACTATAAATAGAGAGAAATTAATTGGCCAACTAATATATATATACAAAAAATTAGCCGGGCATGGTGGTGAATGCCTGTAGTCCCAGCTACTTGGGAGGCTGAGGCAGGAGGATTGCTTGAGCCAGGAGTTTGAGGTTGCTGTGAGCTAGACTGACACCACGGCACTCACTCTAGCCTGGGCAATAAAGTGAGACTCTGTCTCAAAAAAAAAAAAAAAAGAAAAAAGAAAAAACGTTTAGAAATTAATGCTTTCATGAGTCCAAAATAAAACTACTTGCTACATGCATTCAGATAGTACACATCTGACACAGATATTCTCAGGATGCTATGCTAACATTCTCATTTTTATTATATTGATTATTATATATTACATTTATTATATTTTATATTTATCACAGCACAATTCACACTTGCAAAGATATGAAATCAACCTAAGTTGATTTTCTTTTTAATGAAAGCTTTGTTGGGTGTTGACAGACTTCCTGTTTCCTACTATGCATCAACTATGTAGTTGAGGCTAAAAAAATATGTTTTGTCAGGCTAAACATTGTGTTACCATTTAAAATAACAGAAAAAATTCTTAGCAATGGTTTCAACGGCTGATGTAAATTTTATACATGCATTTGAAACAAGTTTCTCCAGGATTGATGACCAAGGCCCAAACCTTAAAGCAAAAAAGGCATTTAATACCCTATATTCTAAAGAAAGATGCCAATAGTTAAGACCATCAAAAGGTCCTACTGTAATCAACTCCTAACCCAAGTAGAAGCAGAAGCCAAGTGAGGAAGCAAGGCTCCCAGGGGCTCATGTGTGGAGACTGGCTGGTTGAACACATCCTACATGAAGGTCATTGAAACAGTAGAAGATGGCCAAAGAAGTGGCAATTAGAACAGGGGCAACAGATACGGGCAGGGAAGTAGAGGCATTGTCTTTTTCCCTTATTCTCCTCCTTAGGCCTCTACCCCAGAGGAGCGAGGCTTGGTAAAGGCATGGGGGAAGGTACTTTAGGGCTGAGTGCTCTAAGGTCTAGATGGGAGGTTGAAAACGCAACAATCATTCCTCACTTCAGGGTACACAAGCCATAAGAGTGGCTCCAAAGTAGGTCATGGCAATTTTTAGGTATGAGATTAAAATTTTGAACTGAGTTCCAACAGATCAGAATCCAAAAAAAAAAAAATTTTGAACTGAATCAGGCTTCACTTTCAATTATATTTAATATGATTATGCTTAACAGAGAAGGGAAATTGTACATGGCACAGTTGAAAGAGAATGAAGAAAACTATTTCATGTTTGTTCTTCACTAAATTCAGACTTTTCAATGAACAGTTAACACATTTATACACATAGAATGTATACTCCATGTATGACAGATGTGGATTTACATTTAAGAGAGTGATATTTATAATACTAAGATATTAGAAACAATCTGAATGCCCAACAAAATAAACAAGATTGAGTAAATTATATCCATAAAACAAGCCATGAAACAGCTATTAAAATGACATTTTAGGCTGGGGGCCGGTGGCTTACACCTGTAATCCTAGCACTCTGGGAGGCTGAGGCGAGCAGATTGTTCGAGGTGAGGAATTCGAAACCAGCCTGAGCAAGAGCGAGACCCCGTCTCTACTATAAATACAAAGAAACTAATTGGCCAACTAATATATAGAGAGAAAATTAGCCGGGCATGGTGGTGCATGCCTGTAGTCCCAGCTACTCGGGAGGCTGAGGCAGGAGGATCACTTGAGCCCAGGAGTCTGAAGTTGCTGTGAGCTAGGCTGACGCCACGACATTCACTCTAGCCTGGGCAACAGAGCAAGACTGTCTCAAAAAAAAAAAGATATTTTATAAGAATTTTAATGGCATGGGAAAGTGTAAGATACAGTGTTAAAGGAAAAAAAATACAAAACTCAGTATAACAGATATTATATAAATAAAAAATATATGCATACAGAAACAGCAGTAATGAAAAGTACTAAAATGTTACCAATAATTACAGGAATTTTGAATGATTTTTATGGTCTTATATATGCTATTCAGTATTTTCCAAATATTTTATCATGTGTAGTTATCACCTCTTAATAAAAAAACATTAGTTTTAGTTGAGCATTTAAAATTATAAAACCAGCCCATTAAGGCACTGTATTTCTTCATAAAGAAATAAAGCAAAATAAGAACTATTCTCACTGTTGGTATTGGGGGATAGGCCCGAATCCCTGCCCCAACCACCAACACAGCTCCTAACAAGCTAGTTATGTTGTTACATGTTTACATATTTTTAAATTACATTTTTAAAATTGAAAGGTAGTAAAATTGACCTTTTTTGGGGAGGGGGTACAGTTCCATAAATTTTAACTTTAATTTTAATTTTAATGCAAAGATTCGAGCAATGACCACTCCAATACAGGATACAAGAATCTAACAATATTCCTTCATGTGATTTCTCTCAGGCAAAACCACCATCCATTCCTAACCCCTGATAACCACTCATGTGTTTACTAGAATTTTGTCTTTTTGAAAATGTTATCTAAATACAATAACAGATACACTGTTAAACAATAACTCCTGACTTGCTGTCGCGCCCGCCTCGCCAGCAAGGAAGACGCGGCAACTGGAGTTCTTCTGACAACGCTTTAATGGGGATTGCTTAACTGGTTACATGCGGAAGACACCGAGGAGTTCTCGGCAGCTGCTTATAAAGACAGTAAGTACACGGGGCATAACCTGATTGGTCAACACAGAACAGGAGAGGAGGCAAGGCTTTGCACATGCGCTGAACATCTGTTTGTCAGACGTACAGTAGGGTGTGACCAGGAAGCGGGCGCCATCTTGGAATGGCGTTGCCACCACGCCCCACATCTCCCCCTATTTTATTAATTAAATGAGAACTGAGCAACCGTTCAGCACCGTCCTTCGACAGTACGATCAAGGATGCAGAGCCTCACTTCCAACACCAGCCACCTTACCTCGTGCAATGAGTAAAACTCTGAGGTGTGCAAAGGCTGGCTGTGGGATTGGAGACATGCCTTATCTGGTGCAATGGGAGAGATCCCTCAGAGTGCAAAGGCCATGTCTGCTAAAATACCTGGGGGTAGGAGCGGGTGCAACCCAAAACTAGGCTAACCTTTTAGCATGGTCAACCACACCTGTGTAGACTGTCCCAGTTCAAGCGCAGCAAACGCCTGTGCCAATACCACATTGTCTCTCCGTCTCTGGGCACGCAGTCTACAGATGCACCACAGCCCGCCGCCAGCCGCAGCAAGCAGCAAAATGGCCGTGGCTGCAAGACCGGCCCATTCCTTCAGATGATGGGTGGCTTGTTGAATCCATGCCGTCAGTCCTGTGGCAAGGCTCAGATCCACGCGAGTGGAGTTCACGTGCACGATGGCCAGTCTAAAGTCTCTCAAAGAGGAATCAAACTGCACAGACCAGTTGCCTGTTAGATGCCTAGACAGCTGTCTAGAAAGATTAGCGGCAAAAGTAAAGTTCTCATAGATCACAGAAGTGACACAGAGGCCGGTCATTCTCCACTCACACCCCAGCTGCGCAAGCTGCCAAAGAGTGTCCACCTGGTCCTGTAAACGAGCTCCCGCTGACTTGTTTGGGTCTGGCTCCTCCCTGCTCTCTCAGAGGAGGGGCGGTAGGGGCAGTAAAAGCAGCGTCACGGTAGGGCGGCGGCCGATATCGCCCCGCCTCATACTTTGCCGCTTCCTCTTCCAAAGTAGCTTATCTCCTCTGTCTTCTGTCCTGTCCTTTCCTTTGTCATTTTTATTTTTGGTACCTTTACATTTCTTTCTCTCCCTTTTCTTCTTTCTCGGCCTTCTCCCTCTGTCTGACTCTGAAGTCGCACGCTTCCGCTTTCGCGCTCTGACTCTCGCTCCGGCGCTCTGGCTCTGGCTCCGGCGCTCTGGCTCTGGCTCCGGCGCTCTGGCTCTGGCTCCGGCGCTCTGGCTCTGGCTCCGGCGCTCGGCTCGCTCCGCGTCTGGCTCTCGCTCCCGGCTCTTGCTCTCCGCTCCGCCGCGCTCTGGCTCTGCTCCGGCGCTCCTGGCTCTGCTCCGCGCTCTGCTCTGGCTCCACGCCCTCTGCTCTCGCTCCCGCGCTCTGGCTCTGGCTCGCGCTCCCTGGCTCTGGCTCCGGCGCTCTGGCTCTCGCTCCCGCGTCTGGCTCTCCGCCTCCGGCGCTCCTGGCTTCGCTCCCGCGTCTGGCTCTGCTCCCGCGCGCTCTGGCTCTCGCTCCGCGCTCGGCTGCCTCGCTCCGCTCTGGCTCTCGCTCGGCGCTCTGGCTCTCGCTCCAGCTTCTGCTCTCGCTGCTGCTTCGCTCCGCGCTCTGGCCTCGCTCGCGCTGCTGGCTCTCGCCTGCTCTGGCTCTCTCGCTCCCCGGCTTGCCTGCTCCGCCGTCTGGCTCTGGCTCGCGCTCTGGCCTCCTCGGCTGCTGGCTCTGGTCTGCTCTGCGCTGCTCGGCACGGCTCGTGCTCTAACG